AATCAACTCTTCTTGAATCTCATAACTCCTTTCCTCACCATAACAAACCAACTTAATCAAGATATTAATTATTGTAAAATACCATTTTATGAGAATTATGTGTTTTGTATATATATTGCTTAACTGTCGCTTCTTGTGTATTTCAGTACTTTTCCCTTTATATTGGGTATATAAATTAGATAAATTAAATAAATATCTAGTGATATAGTTTTTTTTCTCCTAGATTAGTTATCAGTCCCACTGTGGAACGTCCAAAACTAAATTTGAAAAAAATTAGTTACCAAATAATTTTGGTTCATCTTCTACAAAATTTTCTAAAAAAGAGATTAAAAATATTTGCCTAAATGATCAAACAATAATATATTTGTAATATAATAATATTGGGGAACACAATAATTGGCACAATTGTCGCTTAGAAATGTTGTACTGATTCTAAAACAATAGTTATTTTATCTCAGGATGTAGTAGAGAACAGATGAAGTACTTGATTTTAAAACATTTTTTCAAGTATAGATATAACAATTTTAAAGGAAGATTTAACAATAGGTAACATTTTATTGTTAATAACTTACCGATGAAAATATTCTTCATATTTCTGATTGTAAAACCAAATGTTACGCTCCTACTCATATTATAAAGAGCAATTAAACCTTGAAGAAATAATATTTGATAAAAAACAAATAAATATTACATGTTAAATATTATTAAAAGCAAGGAAAACCCTGGAAGTATCCGTAAGTATCTTTATAGCCCTGGTGCAAGGGCCCAAAAATCGACCTGATCTCAGGCGAAGGTTTGAATGTAAATTTTATTCTGACTAAATTGAACCTTGTCTGCCATTCCAGAGCCGCTGTTTTCAAAAATGGCAGCTGCTTTAAATAATATTAGGCCAGTAACTTGAGGATCGAAACGGAAACTCCATTGCTAAAAATGTGAGAAAAGTTTTTATTTTTTTAACTTTTATATATGGGTTTAGGTATGTTAAAAACAAAATGACTAATGGGGACCACCAAGAGAAAACTTTTTATAGCCAAAAAAGTTAATTTTTCTTCTTTGTTCTTCTCTCTAGATGGCTATGTCAGGAAGTAAAAATATAAAATTAGTGGTCCTCCTTAGGTCCTCCAGACTTCCGAAAAGCTGGGTCCCAAGGTATGTGGTGATATGTTACCTTTTGAGGCTTTAAAGTTATCTGGGATGCCACTGGATAATTATTGATGATAATTACCCAGAACTATTTCATAATAAAAAAAAAATAGTAAAATAAAATTGGATCTTGATATATTGATTGGCCCAGAATTAATTAATTGGATCTCTTTTCTCAAAGGCTGGTTTGTGTTTATCATGCTTTCTAATTGCCTGATCATCATGATATAATTAAAATAACTTTTACTAAACAACATAATTTATTTCTATGCTTAATAAAGAATATATACAAATTATATTTACAAGAATTACAAATTATAGTTACAAGAATCAATGAATTCAATAATGAACTGTGAAGGCATGATTTCAGATGGACTGTTTGAGAATTATTTTGCCATGAAATATTATACCATTATTAAATTTATTGTTAGGAATAAAAATTATCTATTGTATATGAAGTGGTTTAGTTGGTAGATGTCTTTGCTGCATCTGCTGATCTGAGGTCATCTTTTCAAGGCAAGGTCCAAAAACTTCTCCAAGCCCGTCTGTGTGGTCTATGTAGGGCCAAGGCTTCAGTCCCCAAGCCAGAAGAAAACATCTGACCTATCCTCCAGGCCGAAAATCCACATAAGACCTCTCCTCTAGACTGGATCTCCACATAGATTTTATACAAAATATTCAGGGTGGGGCAAGGGTGGTTTTCATTGGTTGAATTTTCGTAGCATAAGTGCTGACCATGCCTTCAGGCGGTGCGGTCATTTCCTCTTTCTTGAAAGTGTGGGTCTTTGTAGGTGCTTTTGCCGACCTCTGTCCCTAAGTGTTTTATTGTCCCTCACAAAAGATTGCATTCCCTAGGGGGTCTATACTCTCCCTCAGGTAACCGCACATGTGTTAGCAATTATTATTTAGACTATACTTATTCATTTGAAATAATTAAATATATTCCAAATGTGGTCCTTACAATAATACATTGCAGTGGGTTAGGGCCAAATCTGCCTCCTCTTGTCCTCCACCAGCTGGCAGTTCCGCAGAATATGCTCTGTAGTTTGTTCATTTTGACCACATTCACATAGGGACTGTGTTCTATCTTGAACTTCCTGAAGAGATGTGATTTCAAATGGTTAAGTCCAGTTCTGAGGCGAAAAATGAAGACCTGTTCTCTTCTGGTAAACTTGAAATAATAGTCATGGGGATTGTGATTTGGGTGACTTGCTTTCCACCTTTGGCTTATGGCTGCTTTGTTAATAGTTTTGCACTCCTCCGATCTAGGTAGGCTGCTAATTTGGGGTAGCAATTGATTAATTAATTAAGTTAATTTTTTTCAACATTGTTTATTTTTTCACCTATAACTTCTAAACGATGCATTAAAGCGAAAAATTTACCTTTAATAAATTAAAGAAAGTTAAATTGTGGGTCGAAGGAGTACCTAAGCCTAATAATTTGGTTAAGTTGTATGGTAGAAAACCACATTCAAGCAACGCTGATTTGTCAAAAACTGAGACAAATTACAATTTGTAAACAGCCCTGTAACTTGGAAATGAGTTCCCTAAGAGGAAAAACCCATTGAATCAAAGTTGTAGAGCATCACATTTTGTGTTCATCGAGTACTGACATTTTTATTGTAGGCCAATTATATATCTCGAATTAGGATTTGTTACATCTTTATGAAATTCGGTATCTTTCGACACATCGTTTATAAAAATCATTCGCTGCTGAGAGGTGGGAAAGAGGCTTATACTGCACATAACTGACTCTAAACAAAAATAACTTGGAAGAACAGTTGAAATATCGAAAATCACCTATACCTTATTACCAATTTCTAAGCATCGGAAGATAACAGATTTAGTTCGAAGTAAGTGACCTACATTAAAATAGTTGGTATTTAGCAGACGCAAAATATGATGCTCTACAACTTTGACTCCATGGGATTTTCCTCTTAAGGAACTCATTTCCAAGCCATAGGGATTTTATAGTAATTTTTATAGGTTTTTGAAAAGTTTGGTAAAAATCAGTGTTGATTGACTGTGTTTTTTTACTATACCACTTAACCAAATTCTTATGTTTAGGTACTCTTTCGACACACAATTTAACGTTCTTTAATTTATTAATTAGAACATTTTACGCTTAGATGCATTGTTTAGGAGTTATAGGTGGAAAAAAACAATGTTGAAAAAAATTAACTATTTTGGCTGTAAAAAGTTATCCCTTGGTGACCCACATTAGGAATTTTGTTTTTTTATATGCCTAAACCCATATATACAAGTTAAAAAAATAAAAACTTTTGCCACATTTTCTGCAATGATTTTCCCTTTTTGGTCTTCAAGTTACTGGCCTAATATTCTTTAAATCAGCTGCCATTTTTTAAAGCAGTGTCTCTGGAACGGCAGAAAAGGTTCATTTTACTCAGAATAACATCTACTTTCGTAATTTACATTCAAACTTTCGCCTGCGATTAGGTAGAATTTTGGGCCCTGGCTCCAGAGCTAAGTACCTCCAACATAATTTTTGCTGAAGTATACAAAGTTATGTTTTTATGAATGAAGTTTAGATTTGTATCACAATTATTTTTACAGTGTTATTATTTACATTAACATGTAGTACTTAACTTCTGTTGCTTTATAGACAAATAAAAAAACACTACAATCCATAAAGGGCCTTGGGTTCAGTACTACTTGGGAAGGTACTGTTTCTTAGTCAAACGGTTGTGCAAGAAGGTGATTTGACTGAAATCACACTCAACCACCAGGTTTTTCCACCTTATTAATTAATTAATTTAATTATTGTATCCACTTTATAAAGGCTGGGTGTGACCTAGGAGGGTCTCCCGATCCCAGGGTCGCCTCACAGCCGATGAAACAGAATAGATAATTTTTCTGCCATCAGCCGGGATTCAAACCTTGGCCTTGAGTATTGGAGGAACAGTGCCCTACCACTGAGCTATTGCACTCCCTCTTCATAGAGAAATAAATTACAACTATATCTTCTTTAATTATATTATGATTAATATGTCCTTCATAAAAGCGCGATTTTATATATATATATATATATATATATATATATATATATATATATAATATATATATATATATATATATATATATATAGAGTATAAAATAAAATATAAGGAAGTATATCCATTATTTCCTTAATAAAACTACAATAGCTACACAATTCATTTAAATAGTTCTAATTAAGCAAAATAAAAATAAAAATTTAATAAGAAAAATTAATATTCATTAATTTCAATTATATGTCATCATGGATGAAGTCATAATACTGTGTTTTTCATTTATTTTTAATAATGACAGGAATATTATATCCTCTAAAAAGTTTATTTTACTATTTTAATTTTTACAGATAGTTTTTCAATAGTTTCTAAAAATGTGTGCACTTTTTTATATTTGTATTTCATTTCATGCCTTAAATTAATCTCATTTGACTTCTTGACCCATTAACTTAAAAAATAATGTAAAAAGGTTTTTAAAATAGAGATAAAAAGGTTTTAAAAATAAAGGTGATAAGTAAAGCTCTGATCTAATTATACTTTTAAAAAAATAATATTTTTTTGTCGACAATAATTTTCTATGAGCAAGCGTAGGGGGTTTGAATGAAGTATGAGGATTTGTCACAGAGCACGGGGCAACGCTGGCTATAATGTTGGAAGGTTATGTTACAGTAGTGTACTTCACTTCAGATGTAAAGATATGTTTGACGACTTATTTTCTTGTAAACAGGGGGGGATTGGGGTTTATATCTTAAATTAATTCCATAGCTCTTGGTATTATGATAGTTAGTAATTATTCAAGTTATTTTAACCCAGTGTAATCGAGAATTTGTTTTTTTAGTATTTAATTGCAATGGATGGAAAGACACCTGTCACGCTACTCCATGAGTATTTAATGAAAGGAGGCGAAGTTCCTGATTACAAGTTGGTGTATAATGGAGTAGGAACTCATGATCCTTTGTTCCAATATGAAGTTAGTGCCAAAGGTATGGTGGCTATAGGGAAGGGAAAATCCAAAAAAGAAGCTAAACATGATGCTGCTCGCTGTCTACTACTTAAGTTGAAGGATGATAATGCTTTGGAACAGGAGGTAGCTGTTGTTTCACCTTATGAACATTCTCTTAAAGAAAATGCAGTTGGCCAACTTCAAGATTTTTGTACACTACACAACACTGCTTCACCAAGTTATGAATTAATTAGAGATGAAGGTTTAGCACATGCTAAAGTTTTTGGTATACGGTGTAGAGTTTCTTCCTTTTTTACTGAAGCTGAAGCTCGGACTAAGAAACAAGCCAAGCAACAAGCTTCACACTTAATGTTATTAAAGCTAGAAAAATGTCTTAGTGAGGGAGACTTCATTGCAACGCCAGATTCAGAAAAACCAGAAAACAATGATTTAATTAATAAGGCCTGTGATGTTACCAAGGAAGCTTATAATAAAGTTTTATTAGAAAGGACTAATGATAAGATTTCCTCTTGTAGACTAGGTACTTCTATGAGTAATTTTTCAGGTCAGTTTTTAGAAAATGTTTTACCTTTATCTGAAACTCTCAGAACCATTGCTGATAAAGATGATTCTTTCTTTGAAAGCTACCAAGACCCAGAAGAATTGCTTACCACTATTTTGACCCAATTGGATTACCATCACAGTTACGAATTTGTTCAGACTAGGACCGAAACAGAATTTTTGTGTTTCCTACAGATTAAAGAGTTAAACTGTGCCAATTTTGTGGGGTTTTCGACATCTTCAAATGTAGCTAGAAAAAGTGCAACTGTAAAAGCTCTTCAATTTTTATCATGTATGTCAAAAATATGAAATTTCATTTACTTTAAAAATGGAAAGGTATTTTGATTTCTCTTCTTTTACAAATTTTATTATTTTTTTTCTTGGTAATATGATTCATAGTAATATGAATTTTCCTTATAAATTAATATTAATTGTAATTAATTAAATGTTAATTAGAGTTTTGCCTTGTATGTTTAACATTCAGTTAGTCAATGTAACGCGAGTATGATCAAATGTGATATTTGTATCATGATCTATGATGATATGTGATACTTGTAATTATTTTATTGTTCACAGTTTATTTTAATTTTGTTTTGCTGTTATATTAAAAAAACTTAAATCTCAGGTTTTTGAGAAAGTGTTTTATTATCAGCATTATGTATGAGAAAGACAAATAATTGGGATTTGCAATCTATATAGTTTATTGGTTAATTAATGAATAAACCATAGTTAATGAACTGTATAACTGACTTTTAAAGAATGCAAATGTTGATTATTTGTCATCCTCATTATTTAACAGTCAATTATAAATCCGGTATAACTGTACAAATGACACTCCGTTTTCATGAGATCTCACATAAAGCTGAAGATCTCATGACGACACCATGAATGGTTTCCTGAGAATAGCCAGAAGGTCCGTAAAGTAGACAGAAGTGGCTGAAATGTCTGTTAAGTCCCTGATTTCAACTGAAAAGGTTCCATTGAGGGTTTGTGTATTCCTTTTGAGTGAGCAGAAGTCGAAAACAGCATTATAATTAACTTGGTATCTTGCTTAGTGAAAGTGGAGTGACGCTTGTACAGTGCTATGTTTTTAAAAAAATGTAATCCCCAACCTCACCATTTCTGGCTTATGGGGGTAAGAGAATATTCTAGAGGTACAACCAAACTTATCCTCACCAGAGAGGAGGTTGTGATTCAGTCCATGATTCCTCCATAAAATAAATTTTTGACTAAAGAATGCTAAAGTTCACACTTTAACACGCTCGGCCATCACAATCTCTCATGCAGTGCTATTGTATATCCATCTCTATCATAATTTATATATTTTTAAAAGAATAGTTTGGAGATAATTCGTAATGATGGTCTGATGAACACTTTAAAATCGAAAAATATTCAATTATGCAAGTATAATCACCATTTAAAAAAAACACACCTTTTTGCACTGGTGATGGACACCCCAAAATTCTAAAATCTTTATTTAACTATAAATATAAAATAATATGAATGTTTAACTTACTTTTTGTAAAACTGTTAGTAGGAAGATGTGAAACACACTGATCTAAAGAGCACTATAGAAACAACAATTACAGGCATTTTAAAATTTTCTTTTGGAAACTTTGTTCATTCAGTTGTCAATAGAGGGCATTAGTCTTCGAACTATAGATCCTTTAAATCAACAAGAAACTCTTCTCATCAGTGATTGCGGCATTTTCTCAAGTTCATTTATTGATTATTTACTACTTTAATTTATAGAATTGCAATATATTTTAGGAGTAATTTTAATTTTTTTTTTTCTCTTTTTCTCGCCTCTACCCTAAAGGGTCATTGGCGTTTTCTATATAATTTATACTCTATTATAGTAGTTGATAATCTTTAAAAATTTAAACAGGATAGAGACTCTCTTCATTGTCTTGTAGTATTTCGTTTAGTGTTTTTCCTAGTTACATTTTTTCTTTGTGCCTTTCGAATTGGGGACATTCTACTAGAAGGTGTTTCACAGTTTGCGGTGTATTATTACATTTTTCGCATGTAGGAGCTTCTAGGCCTCTTAAAAGATAGCTATGAGTGAACTGTGGGGGCGGGGTGGCCGAATAGGCTAAAGCGTGTGCACAGCACCGCTAGTTGCCTGGCAACCGGATAACAGAGATTTGAGATGATATAAAAAGTACGAGTTCGCGTCCCGGTGCCGGAGGGGATTTTAAATTCCCCGCCCTCACCCCCCCTCCCTCCCCCGGAAAATCCCGTATAGCCTAAAAGGCGAGGTAGGGAAGAACAAAACAAAAAACAAAAAAAAAAAGCTATGAGTGAACTGGCAGTGCCCAATCCTTAGGCGGCACAGTATAATTTCTTCATGCCTGGACTTTCTGTTGCTAGTGAACCATTTATCGCAATTAAGTTTCACTTCTTTCAGCTTACACTCTTTGATCCTCCACTCTTTTTCCCACTCTGCCAGTTGTTTTTTCTTTATTTCGTGTACCCAGGCTTCTAAAGTGATATATTTCACTCTAGTCACTTCCTCTTCTTCTCCTCCACTTCTTGCTATATGGGCTGCATTGTCAGCTTTTTCATTCTCTAAAATTCCGCAACAAACTGGTACCCATACCAAGACAACTGTTGTTCCTTTATTTTTTACCTCACACCAGGTTTTGATAATTTCCCTAATTATGGAGTTTCTAGGATATGGGTTATCAATGGCAGTTAAAACACTGTATGAGTCCGTCACAACTACCCAGTAGTTCTTTTCAGATTCACTTATAAGATATAAGGCATTCATGATGGTAGTGGCCTCTCCTGTGAATACGGAACATTCTCCAGGTAATTTAAACAGTAAGTGGTTCTCTTTTCACTTCAATATGGTTATTTAATAATGTTTTAAATTAATGAGTTATTTCTTCCATAATTTTTTTATTCAATAATTTATGCATGAAAATACCTATTTCTATTCAAAGTAGAGTGGTAAATGAAAGTTGTGTGTGATAAGTGCACCTCACCAGATATTTGCTTTAGGTTTAAGTTACATGGTAACAATAAAAAACCATCACTTGCTTACTTTAAAAAAAAATAAGACTGATTTCAAATTTTTTGTAATAGTAATTTCATTTCAGAATAATTAAATAGGACATAAACAATATATTTATTGACAACAGAAAAAAAAAAATTGTTACTTTCCAGAACACATACAAATACTTAAATTAATACAATACTGAATCTTTGTATAAACTACAAATAAATTTAAGTGAAAAGATCGATTGTGAAATGATATTTTAAATATAAGATATATATTATATATACAATAGATCAATTGTACTTCTGAAAAGTATAGGATATGGAAAAAGATGTAGAAACCCTAATGGATTTCTTACAAATAACTGAATTTTACAACACAATATAAAAAATCAAAGGATTACCAATGATCCTATCCAATAGAGGCAATAATAAATAATAAATAAAATAATTCAAAGATTATTAATTGGGTACAAAAAAAAGTCTTGAAATCAATATTTAATAAAAATATAGTTTCTTGGCCAACAGTTGTGCAAGGAAGTGAAGGATAAAGTCAACATCTAACTCACCTGCCAGGTGTTCTCCCTGTTAAGGATATCCATTTTATAGAGGATTGTTTGCAGTACAGAATAAAGAAGATTTTAGAAGAGGCAGTCATCACAAAAATACTCCAATTGATCTCAATAGAGATCCTTAAACATGTTCTCAAAGTATCGATAATGTTTTTTAGGAAATAGTTCAGGGTTCAGCAGAGATGGAAACTGCTATTTTTAATTGAGCACTTATTCTCAGTTCACATTGTATAATATTATTATTATTCACTGTGTGCGAGTCAGCTAAGCAATAGAAACTAGTTTTTTTATGTTTTAAATGCTATGCTAAAGAGCAAGATAAGACAATTTTTCTTTCCATTGCTTTTCACAGGGGAAAAAATTATTCATCACTTCACCACTCCAAGTAGAACTTATTTAAATTATAAATTATAGTTATAGTCACAAAACTAGAAGTGAGATATTAATTGCAGTTGAAGTTTTATTGGAGTAATTTGTATTTACTATTTAGTAATAACTCCTGAAAAACTTTAAGTATTTGACATATATAATTCTCCAAATTTTCTTTGGGGGTAGTTTAAAAACAGTTTTTTTTAATGATTATGTAATAAATTATTCAATTGACTCAATTCAAAAAACATGTGTGTACGTTTGCACACAACCTTTTAATTCCTTCAATATAGAATAAGTTTCTGAAACAAGAGGTATTTAAATGGTATGAAGAAAAAAGAAAGCATATCATCCTAACAAATATTAGGATTTGTTGGTTTTTTTACTGGATATGGAAAGTTTCATTGCAATCTATAAGACATTTGAAAGAATTTCTAGGATGAAAGGAAAGAAAATACTAACGCATTTTCCAATGTATAAAATTTTCCAATATCATATAATTAATAGTATGCTGAAGGTTTTTTCCTCTGTCTCATGACAAGGTTGATAGATAGAAGGATAGAAATCATCACAACCTATAAATTAAATTAATTTGACTTTGTTAAGAAACTGATTTTTTCCTCACAGAAATGTGATTATCTAATAAATTTTGAAATAACTCCATAATCCAAGACTTGAAATAATGAGTTAACTTTTAATCTTAATCAGCTCTGACAATACTGAATTTTTTATTTTTGTTTTTATGAAACTAGAACGTTTATGGAACTTCTACCAAAGCAATTCATTTGTCCAAAAAGTAAATTTAAAAAATAGTAATTTTACATTGCAATCTTGGCTACTTAAACAGAGGCTGGCAAGGTCATTATTAAAATTTATATTTTTTATGTATTCCAATTTGCAGTTTATTACTCATTTAATAAAACTTCTGTTTTAATAAATTCAATAAATAAAAGTTACAACTTTTTTTTTTACAAAATCAGAACTTAGTGCACCGATTCGTAGGACTAAATAAATTTGCCTAGAGCCGTAATGTGTAGTGAAAGGAATCGGACCACTACACCAAGTTAAAATGTCCATAGATGTAAATTTCCCTATCAATCTACCAAATTTTTTCAGTAGATATGCAAGTACATTATCATACAAAAATGTTCAATTGAAATCTTATTTTAAAAACTTTATTTTTTAAAGTTCTTTGGGCAGTATTTTATAACTAAACTTTCCTAATAAGTTCACACAAAAAACAGGGGTATAATAGAAATAAAACACGAGAGAGCTTAATATTAGTTGATATTAAAATGAAAATTTTTATAAGCTATTGCATTAAATTGTGAATCCTTTTGTCATTTCAAATTTTAGTTCTCCTTTCCTTTTACATGCTTTATGACATTTGGAGTGATTATTCTACAGATAACCAACCTATTCTGGTCAGAATCAAACTCATTCATTCCACTTCTGAATCAAGATTACTAAGGAGATATCTTCCTCGTCATTCTACCAAATACTTATTTAAGATGAAGTATTTTCTTAAATTATAGGATTTTTTTTTTAAAAAGAGTCTTAGAGGATTGATTTTCCACAATATAAGTGATTTATTTTAGAATTTTGAAAGTTCATAATAATGATCTATACAGAATCTTTGCAAGAAAAAACAAATTGTATTTATTTTTATTTTTGCTGGAGTTTCAGCCCAAAGTTTAAGCCTTCAGGGCTAAGGAAATTTGACTGAACACACCAACCAACTTCTCTCCAAAAAGCAAAATTGCTTTATTCAAAGAACAACTTTTTTTTTCTGTCTCAAATTAGCACGGGGATGGTCATCATCTCGAACACTTAGGTTTGAGTCGTGTCCCTCATTGACTGCGGAGGTGCAGGCATCCTCCTGTACATCGGCAGGCAATGTGAAGCCGTAGCGATCGTAAGATTGCCGAGCCTGAGACCAATCGTGCTCTGAGGTCAGAGAAGCAGTGCTTCCCGATCAAATTGGTACTACGGGGCGTCGCCGGAGCCCCGGCGGCGCTTTGGGTGGACGGTGAGAGTGCTTGCACTGTTCGGCCGTGGCGGTCGTAGTGGTCGATGTGTTTACGACCACTCGCTGCACGACACCAGTGTTCAGCTAGTCTTGACGTTGTTCAGGCTAATTTCTGGTACAATGTCTGGACGAGTGGACGGAAGCTATGGTAGTAGTGTTTGTCTTATTCCGTGGGCACCTACTGTGTGCCTGCATCTTCTTGGACGTACCCGGTCTAGGGAGTTAGGTTGGAGGCCGGTTAAGGCTCGCGCTAGGTATGGCTTCCAACTGATGCTCTCTTGGTCCATAGTGTACCCGCTGCCCAACTGTCTCAAATTAGCCACATAAAATGATTGTTCTACTATGTAATTATATTTTTATAAGAAAAAAAGTAATATATTATTTATTTTTCCCTACCAACATAATAAATATTGGTCCACAACGCAGAAGTGGACAGTTTAAGGAAGCATCTGGAAACCATTGGAGTGTTAGCAAATAAGGCATACTGGGCCCATAAACTTGTTCGATTTTAAACTCTTTGGCATTTCATTTTGCTTTGGTATCAAAGTCTCTTCCATTTTGTGTGGAGTGCCTGTGTGTGAATAAATATCCCAAATATCGAAATTTCAGAAAGTAAAACTCACCCTTAGATCTTCAAAAGTTTCACCAGATTATTCATTCATCAGATTATGATTGTACTAACTCCAATTTTAAAATAAAGTTTTAAAAAGTTAGGATTAAAATCATTTGTCTTTTAACAACTAAATAATTCTAAACATACTTCCTTAAAACTCAGAAATGGCTGTTATTTAATACATCCTTACACCTCAAAAACTTTCCTCTATCTCTTTACCCAAAGAGCATCTATAGAATGAAATTTATCTAAGACACTCAATCAGCCTAAATCAGTGTAAGAAATTGAAAGATAAGAAACAGAAAAAATAAAAAAGATAGTTGTGGAAGAATGGGGAAAAATCCAGGAAAGATTACTGCAATGTTGGTAGGATCCATGAAGTCCATCACATTTAAGTTATAAGATATGACAGAGAATCAACAAGTATATATTATGCAGTAAAAAAAATAATTATAATGTTAACAGTCATTTTATAACATAACATTCATTTTAACGAAGGCAACAAAATAGTTTAATAAACAATTAATGACCCAGAAAATATTTTAGTATTTTACATAAAATGAAAAATTAATGCTTCTGCTATTAAATGAAATAGTTTGTTGTAAAAGAGAAATTCTTTGGTGATAAAATTAATTTAATAAAATGCAGGATGGGTTTTGACAGACTTTTTGACCCAATGTATGTTTAGTTTATTATTGTTCATCAATAGATAGCATTAGTATCGGGAGTAATCAGTTGCAGAAAAATCCACAAGGTGTCGCATTTTTTCTTGAATTCTCCAAGCTGTAAAATTTTCTACAATAAAGGAAATCCAACTTCGTAAAATAAAGTAAATTAGTTTTTCCCTTTTTTTCTTCAATTATTGACTTATTCCTATTACTCTTTCGCCGTAAGTGTTTGAGAAATGATGTTGGTCAAACTGCTAGTTCAAAAAGCATGTGCAGTGGAAAGGTTCTGATTCTGTATCAGCCAGTTTTGTCAGTAGCAGTTGATTGATGTTATCAGTCAGTGCTTATTGAGGTATTCCCTTGCCCTCAGTTTATTCTGTCATTAAATCTAGTTTCCCCCTTTTTCCTTTCATCCTCTTAGTGCTGTGAATATTTTTCTGCCCTTTAGTTGTGAAATTAAATAGGTAAGTCCAATTCATTATTTATAACATTTATTTCATTTCTTTAATATTTGTAGAATAATTTAAGATATTGATGTTCAGTTTTGTTGACAAATAACAATAGTAAACCATTGCTACATTATTAGCATGTATATCCGGAATGTTTAATTTTTTTTTTAATCACTGAAAGTGCTTTATTTAAATGTCATGAGCAGATTTTTATTTGTTTTTTTTTAAACATATCTATGTTCATTTATTCTAATCAGCCAGCTTGCAGTGTCGCACAAACACTTGTCCACTATTATAGAATTTTTGTTTATATTATTTGGGATTGTGCATGTGAATTGGTTTTATTTTTTTACAAAAAATTTTGGCTTAAGATACCTATATGCTCTTTTAAATCTGAGGAACTTGTTTGCATTTGGATGTAAGAACACTATTGACTTTATAATTTTGTTTTCTTTTTGTAAAATATAGAAAATAGTGCTGCTTTTTTGAATAACAAGTAAGGAATATTTGAAATTTGTATTAAATTTTAGGATGATTTAACTAAAAATTATGGAATTCTGCATTTTAATTTATTTTTTATTATTGAACTATTTTCGATCATAACGACTTATCGAAGTTCTTTTGTTCTTTCTTACATTTTTACAGCAAATCTGCTTGCATTTATTTTAGAAAAATGACTATAATGTGAATGACAAGATAGAGCATGATTATCATATTTTATTATTGTTAAATAATAAGTTAAAACAGTCCAATTGATCCGTTCATGCATATTGATATGCTTGATTTTCGAAGAGACATATAGGTTGTAGTGTAAAAAAAAAACCCTTGGCATGTACAATCCCAGTTTTGATATATGTTGTGAGTGTAGCTGTGTTGTGTGTGTGTGGAAAGGGAGCTATGCCTGGAGGTTTGGGATCCTCCTACCGCTCCCTGACCGGTGATGTCTACCGACCGACGACAGTCTACAATGAAACTAAGTTTAGTGTTCTTGAGTCGATGAAGAAAGCGTTTAGCTTCACTTCAAATCAGAAGACTTCAGAACCACTTTTGAATAAGGATCAGGCAGCAGTAGTTTCAAGGTAAATGCGTCTATAAATGTTACGATTTTATTAAAAGATTTATTTATTTTTTTTGTATTGTATCTCACAATGAATTATGGCACCAATTCTAGTAAGGTAACTTTTTCTTATGTGATTTTTTATTAAAGATTTTCTTATAAATTTTAATTATATCGATATGACATGCTATTTGCATTCTTTCATTACAATAATCTGATTTAGATATTTCTCTTTTAAAAATATTACTGGCTATTTCTTTCTCTCAAGTAAATTATAAATTTATTATTTAAATTAAAATAAATGTTAATTAATATAGCTGGTGTTTTTTCAATAGTATTATTCCGATTTGTTTTAATTTTATGTTGTTTTTGGACCCCTATGGATATTATCAGCTAGCAGAGGTAAGCCTATTGCACTTGCTCTGCACTCTAGCAACACTAAATACCAGGCTATCATTTCTTAAATCATTTAAAAAAAATATATATAGATATATAAAAAAATGAAAGCTTAATAAAAGAAAAAAAGAAATCAAAAGCTTATTTAGGAATAATTTGGCCTGTATACATTTTTTGTATTATAGCACTAGTTTTCAAAAGTACATTTGTAGAGCATGGTTGTTTTAAAATATATTTATTGTTGTTTCATTTTAAATCCTGCATGTATCTTTTATTTTAAGTGTGCTTTGAAGCATAGATTGCCTAGTAGATTGCAATAGATGTGTGAAATAGATAATTTTGATTTTAGGAAGATGCCTACTTCAGCTAATGCAGAGAAAGATGCCTTGCTCGGGTAAGAGATGATTAATTTTTATACATTTACCTTTTTTGTTGAGTGTTTAAATGTTTAGAAGAGCATTAATTCATTCGTTATCATACTTATTTTAATATTCAGTGTTCAAAAATGCATAGATTTGTTGTATTTCTGTGAAATTTTTAAATGTTTTTTATATGGCTCAAAATTCTCTTGTGATCCGTGCAATTTACTCATTTCTTATTCTGATTTTATTTCTTATTGTAGCTTGTGTTAGTTTAGCTTTAACTGTTTTTTATAATTTTTAAATGTTTATAAGTATTACGTAGTATGTAGCATGTAGTGTATTTGAATATTATATGTATTTTTAAAAAATAAGTTCCTCAGAAATTTTAAAACATTTCAGAAATTCTGTATTTTAATTTTCATATATAACTAGCAGTCTCATCTTCACTAGCTTTCACTTATTACATTTTCACTCGTATACCTTTATATTATAGTAGTAATTAGTAAAATATAGATTATAATGTTGATGAATTTAATTATTGTTCTTCTATTGTTTCATAAAAACTGAAGACAAGATTTGTTATGTTAGACAAAAAGTATCACATAGTTATTTTTTGTTTGATATTTACAGTTTAGAATTTTAAATTAAAATTATCTATAGTTTGCAAAAATAGATTGACATGTTGAGTAAGATTTAGATATTTTTTTTTAAGCACTACACATCTGTCCGAGGTGATGGTTGATGTCTTGAATTGCCAGTAATGTAATCTGCTGTTTTTAATTATTGTTTTGTATTATATAATTTATTAAATATTATATTAAACATGTTATTATATTGTTAGATTTGGGTGTAAGTTGGAGAAAGTATATTAGTGCGGAGGAAAGGACTATAAGAGCGCCAAGGTAGATCAATAGGAAAGAGACCTGCTGGAAGGGAGATATTGATTTTCGGTCGGGCGCGCCCCCTTCAAATCTACGCTCGCCGTCTGTTGTGACTCTGTAGCCAAGGGAGACATCCCTTCTTCGACCTCTTTGCATCTTCTTATCGATGTTAATCGAGTCGTTGGTGATCGAATCGAGCGCTTGAGAACGTTTAAAAATTAATTAAGTGTCAATTTTTCTTTCATAAATTGAAATTTGAAAGAATTGGTTTCATTTTATGCATTATTATTTTTAATTATTTTTTAACTGTTCTGACCTGATACCAGAAAGGAGTATCAAAAATGAAATAAACAAAGAAAAGTTAACAGTATACAAAGTAAAAAGAGTTGACAAATAAATTACTTTTATATACATGAAATTCATTGATCATTCGTTAACTTTTATCCCAGAACTCTTAGATGTTGAGCTAATGATTTATCAAATGAAATAATTACAACTCTCCTAGAAAATGTGATGCAAGAAAGTTATCCATTCAAATCTTAGATTCTTTCCAAAAATAACCCTGCAATTTTCGTATGACTGGTATTTAGACGAATATTTTATTTATTTAATTGGGTATTTCCTTTTTTTTTTTCTATTTATAACAAATGTCACTTGCACAATGACGCATATTCCGGAGAAAAAGATTATTAAAAAATTGAATTAGTAGTATCTAGGTTTTAAAGATTGTCATTTTTCATTCCTGTTACTTAATGAAGATGTTTTTAAAATTTGGTGATTTTGAAATCGAAAAAATGGATAATGTTACATTTTTTTTTTTAAGATTCTAATATTACCTTCAAATAATTATTAAACGAGAAAATAATTTATTATATTTAAATTAATTAATTGCCACCGGGACAAAAAACAATCTTTCTTGGTCTTTTAGTTTTTATACAAGGCCTAGTTTTAAAAAGAAAGTCGACAAATTAAAGTATGACTATCACGGCGCTTTGATATACTATTCTGTAAGACACCCGAATTTTTGATGAGCTAATGTCTTACGTGTTTGTGTATTGCCTAATAATTTATACCTTTATTTGGTTTTGGAATGATTTTATTCTCAATAATATTTATAGAAACCTATTCATCCTGGAGTTTCCTTATTCCTAAACCTCGTTTATACATAAACTACTATTTGAGGCTTGATGTTCTTCCATCTATTTCTCAGTAAACTCCTCTTACTGTTACCCCTTACGGTATGGTTCAAAATGTGGCAAACATTTGCAAAATGTAGCCCTCACACATGTTGGGCAGTTCGAATTATTCAACACTTTGGTCCTCTGTATAGACAGTTTTTATTATTGTTTTGTATGTGGCTTCCAATCCTATGTTTAAACGGAATTTGGCGTAGAAACGTTAATCAAAAACCTATTTCAGACTTGTAAGCCTCTAGTACAAACTACAATACGTAGTAGCTATCTGATTTCACAAATTATTTCTGTCTTGCAATGCACGAACTCCCTATTTAGTCCTTCACTTTCGGGAGAATGAAAACCTTTTATTCTATCAAGATTATATGGAAATGTACGGCGGTAGAAGGTATTCCACTTGTACTTGTGATCTAGGCAACATCGCACTGTTTCGACACGCTAACCGCAAATCAAGCTGAATAGCTACTGCTTTTTTCCCCTCCCGACTATCACGAAATACTCTACTGGCTAGCAGAGTGGTCATATCATTTTGTGAGAATGAATCTTGAGAATAGTCTTTAAATAATTTAAAACTGTTGAACAACTTATTTCATTTTTATTTTTTTGTTTACAAGATAAAACTTTATTGTGCACAAGGTACTTTCCATCCCAGATCCGACACACTCCTAGAGAAAAAAAAAATGTTTTTTCTCATCGAACTTGAGTCTGGTTTTGGGATTCCAGGGTTATTTCGCTTCTACAATAAATGTATTATTTATTTAAATCTTTAAATACCAACAAATTCTGAACAATAAGAAATCCTTGTTGAGGTTGAACTCAATCAGCTAATTTTTAATGGATCACAGTTCAATGAAGAATGAAGTATTATCAAGTAATGAACAAACGGGTTCGTATTTCCATCATGGAAAATTGCTTGATAACAAATATATTAATTATCATTATAATAGGATCGGAAATATACGCCGAATAATCAATTTTACTTCATCAATAATCTGTTATATTGTTGTATTATCTGTCGTTAACCTTAAGCCACAAACTCAGCCATTGTTATATATATCTGCATTAACAAAATATCAATACTGGGAGGCAGTGGACTGTTAAATTAGGCCATGCGTTGCCGATAATATAGGGCCATTGTGTTGCCGTAGCCACGGCCTTATAAATCTCCCTCAAGGGTAGGAGGGTTCTTTATCCTGGCGGAAAGTTAATGGTTCGAGATAATTACTCTGCCATAAAATACCTCCGAAGCATAATTTGAGTCGAGTTTTATTATATCAAGTGATGTACGAGGGGTGTTGTCCATTAAAATGGATTTTGTACCTCCTGCTTTAATCGAAATTGTTAAAAATATTTCAATTTTAAACCTGAAAGAACGAGAAAAAATTACCTTAAAGGTTTATTAAAAGGATTACTTAAATAAAAAAAATAATACATTGTTTTCATGTTATCAATCTAGATATATTTAAATTGTTTTTTGATTCTTTTAAATGACGGATAAAGTTTTTATAATAAATTCGTTAAATAATAATTGTAGTAGATTTAAAAAAAAAATGTTTTAATTGTGAAATAAAATTTGAGATTAAAAGGAATGGGTTTTTGTACAAACTTTAATCATATATTAATTAAATATAATAAATTTGTTTAGTTTATTTTTTTTTACTTCTAAGTTACTTCTTATACATTTTTATATTATGCTTGTGCCTATAAGGAAAAAAACAAAAAAAAAACAGAAGATAATAACAATGAAAATTGAAACAATGATTTCGGTGAACATTAGCGGAATTATATAAGATAAAAAAAAATCAACTACATTGAACAAATATTTGCAAAGACACAACAAAATTTTTCATTTCCTTATTACATTTTCTCGAGAATGAAAATTAACAGAGCTTTGTGTAGAAGACGGTAGATTAGTTTTATCGAAATCGTTTGGGGCGTTTTGGGCTACAGTCTATGAGAATAATAGGTTTTACTCTTTCGGCGCAGAAATCACCCGATTTGTTTCACTGGCATCAATGGCCGATGCCCTACTAAACAAAAAAACAAGCTACGAATTCGTTTCACCGTTTGTGACATAATCGTGGCATGCATTTTTCGGACTGTGGGGCTCTGAAACGTAAGGGTTCGTCGAAAACCGCACATCGAAAATTTATCACGATTACAATATTTTCATAAGTGAAAAATACGTGGAAATGGTCATTAATAAAGTAAATGAATATCTCTCTCTCTACTACATAAAAAAGATTTTAATAAAAGGAAAAAAATTCGTATGTTTTATGTTGGTAAAAAATAATGTAATCTGAATTACAGAATTCATGGAAATCAAAATTATAAAATTTGAGCAACGAATAGTACAATTAAATGTGCATTGTAAATATGTTGTAATTTTATTTTTATTATTCACTTACCAGCTCATTTGACAGTCAAGATTAGAAAAGAAAACCTAATAACAGTTCAAACGCATACAAAAAGTTGAATTACAGCATCCTATCTCTTAGCTGCAAGATGAAATAACAATTGAATAATCACAGGCACTCTATTTCTAAGAATATCGCTGCGACTTAAGTATTTCAGGTATGTAATTCAGGCCGTGGCTTATGACTGTTGTCCTGAACTATGCTGAGTGTAGTAAAACCGATTGGGAAAAGGGAGACATTTTTTTCTGAACTGATTGTGAGACGGATGTGTGTAAATCGACCCTTATCGGTTGTATTATCCAGCCAACCGTTAAAGTTGTCTGAAAGGAATTCGTTTTGAGTTGTTAAATTGAAGTTGAAAAATATTCGGGAGTTTGCAAAACTATGAATATTAATAACTGTATTTTAGTTTAAATTTATAATTTAAGAGAAACTTTACCATATATTAAACATTGATTTTTCAGCATAACATTCAGTAATTATATTGAATTATTATTGGATCCAAAAGGTACTTTATATCTTTATCTCACTGAATATAATTTGTT